GGACTTTTTCTTCTTTTTTTTTTTTTTAAAGCTCCGAATTCAGGATGTTTCCCTCTCATTGATTCTAGCTCAAACAGCTCATGTTAAGAATGACTGGTTTTATCACTGCACCTTTTATGGCATCTATTTAATTAAAGAGAGACTTCCTTTTAAAAGATCAATTGAAGTATAAGAACTCTTACAAGGTAAATACTGATATTCTTCCACAGAGAGAGTAGTTGATTCAGTTGTGCATGAGAAGGTACCATGTCCTGATATGCACTACACTTTTCTTTGTATGTGACAATACCTGAGGCCATTCTGAATTTAAATTGACATCATTTTTTTTTTCTAAAGGACAAAAGTGTTGACTCACCTCCAAAATACACTTATTTGATTTCCCATGTGAACACAGTACACAGAGACACCCATAGCTTTCACCATTCAGAGACTCACTCACTCAGCCTCTGACTGTGCTCCACATTTCAGAGTAATTTTCACTCCTGACATCACGGCTCTGCCTACCTGCCAATTTCTGTCTTGGTTCCTGAATGGGTGATTTGTAAAGCCATGTTCACCTGAACACTCAGAAGATTTACTTGGGAGTGAGCTTGCCAGGTGTTTGAGCTGTCAGTTTGCTATGTGTTCACACACTTTCCAAAGGGAAGGTAATAGCCATACTCAGTTAGTTGACTCAGTCAAATGAGTTGCTATTGGAATAATAGCGCAATACATATGGCCATTACTACTGATTTGTGACTTGCAACAACAAAAGATGGGATCATTTCATGAAACCATACGTTTGAAAAGCTGGTTCCCTTTACTAGTTTTTCTGAAAAACATTACTTGAACATGCTGGAAAAACTTGCATTTAGTGATGTCACATGTCTGGAAAGGATTCTGTGATCTAACCCATTCCTTTAATACTTGTATATATGCTGCTCAACTTGTGTTTTTTGGCTTGACTACACATCTTCCAGCTTCTTCTTTTCCTGGTTACTCCACCTCCCTCCCTCTCTCCTCTCACCATGGTTTATAAACAAGCTGTAGTTGTTTTTGGGGCTGGAGGTCGTTGATTTGTCTGCCTCTCGCCGTAGGTCATTGAGGTCACCACGGCCCCGGAAGCATCAAGCTTGGAAAATGAGAAGCCCCGCTCGGCTCTCCCGCTGGCGACCGGGAGCACCCCTTGCCCGCGCCCGCCCTGATGATTAATGCCACCCCCGTCCAGCCACAAACCTTTCTGCCTCAGATAATGCCAGGCAGCAAGCGCGGCTGACACTTTTAATGTATAATTAAGTAGAAAAAGTCAGCACTGGCTATGCAAATTTTTTAAAATGATAAATGACGCTGTACAGCAGCAGGGATTGATTTGGTGTAAATGAAACTAATTAAGGAAATGTCAAACATAATTAATAAAACAGGTTTAAGCTGCAAAACATTGTCAATTGAATGAATGAGGAGGCATTGGCTCCCATTGTTCAGGCTTTATTTAGGTCTTGTGTTTAGCTTGTTCCCTGCTCCAGAATGCTCTCTCCCCTCCTTACTCCCTCCACCACCAATTCCCTGAGAGGGGGAAAATAAATTTGCTTGTCTCTCCGCTGACTGTAGAAATTAATTGCTGAAATCTTGTCCCATCCAAGTGTTACATTCACACGCAGGACATTAACATAACTAATTTGAAAGAGCTCAAATGACTGCATAATGGAGCTCCGTCACCATGCATGACAGTCGCTGGTCATACCAAATTAGCTTGGTTTTATAATTGAAAATTTTCCTCCTCGTCTAATTTTTACACCATTTCCCTCCTTTTTCTTCATCTACTTTTTCTCTTCTTCCTTGCTCCTCTTCCTTCCACGGTATCTTTCTTTTCTTTCTGTTTTCTTGATAAGAACAAAGGTTTTATAATTTACAAAAAGAGTGCTTGACCTATAATTAGAGGAGTGAGGGGAGAGGAAGGCGAGTGCCAAGTGGTGGCGGCAGAGTCAGATCCTTAGTCCTGGTAATGATGCTGGAGACCTTGTGGCCCCCGGGAGGCAGAAGAATAATGGGATGGGCTATTTTTATGGGGGAGCAAAGCAATGGGCCACCAGCCACTGGGATGCTGGTGCCTGGGTATGGTGCAGAGCAGCAGGGGCTAGTGGGGGGCAAAGGAGGGTGAACGCTCAGCCTGCCACACTGCCAGCTCTCAGCCCTGCCCATCAGTTCTGTACGTCAGCCTGATGCACCACTGTCGGCCTCTGTGCCCCCGCACCAGCCGCTGCCCTTGCCGCAGAGAGAGAACTGGGTGGATGAGTGGGGTGGGGTAGAAACATCTGCCACTTTGAGTATAACAGAGGACTTAAAGATACAAAGGGGGCGGGGGGTATCACAGTGAAGTGACGTGTCTGGATACTCAGATAAATATACATTAATGGCCACGTAACAATAATAATAAACTTTGAAGACCTGGATTCTTAGCCTTGGTTTGAAACTGACTAGACAAAACAATTAAAATGTGTCAGGATGCTAATCAGTCTTAAGAAAGGCTGCTAAACTAACCTAATAGACTTTGACCATCTATAGTAAAGTTTTCAGCAGTCAACTGGAGTTTTTTTAAATGTAAAACTCTAAATGCTGTTTATTATTTTGTACCGTTTGACCGAAAGCCTGGGACTAACACAGATAGCGTTAATAATGTGCATGTGTGCAGAGTATTAAAGCAGACCTACGGCTGCCAATATTTTTGTGTTTTGGTTCTACACACTCTAAGCACCGCTATTTATCATACTCCCACATAACAATTCTCCAGAGTTAAAGGAGCAAAAGAAAACAAAAACAAGAAAACAAAAAGTACAAGAACAGAAGAAAACAAAAAATACAAAACAAGAAAATAAAACTCTGGAACAGTCGCAGTCTTTATTCCCACTGCATTTTCATTCTCATCTTTATTTCATTATTCCAGTGAGGATTCTCATGCTTGTAAAAGTAAACTTAAATCCTGGACTCGTGTAGTCTCTTCTTTGTGCATGACAGTAACAGCTCCAGCCCCACAGTCAGCCATGATTTTTGCAGCAATGCTCCGTGCTCTGCTAATGTATTTAAGGATTTCTGTATTTTAAAGCATGGTCATTTAATGGATATCCTTTTAAAGCATTTTACTTTGTTATTTTTAGTTTTCCTGTGACCAGAGCAACTGTACATACACTGGATATTAACAGTAGTCAATAATGAGTGTGGTCAGCGCTGTGAGCTGTATGTTCTGAACTGAGCTCAAGGATATAATTTCATGTGAATTATTACCATATGCATTTCTCCAGGAACACTTAAAAGCTCATAACATACCCACATATTAAAAGTGCTGTTTCTTTCTGGTGCTCAAGCTGAAGTTACAGCCTCTTGTGTTTATTGCCTAGTCTTGTTCTGTAGTAAAGAAAGTCGACTATATCGTATTATATGTACAGTGGTTCATGTTTGCTTTGCTACAATATGCAGAGCCAAAATAGTGTTACATTTCGGCATGGTATTAAAAACAATTAAAAACTAGAGTACCACATCTATACACACAGGGATATAGCAATTGCATAAATAGTGACCTACACAAGATTTTTAGCAGCAATGCCTGTGTCTTAATTGCACACTATATTCTGAAAAATATGTAGCATCTTCATACTAAAAAAGTTGTTAAAAGTGAAGAAATAAAGACATATGACAAAATATTTTTTTTTAGATTTGGGAATGTTTTTTTGGGGACATTACTGCATTTATATGTTAAAGGAGGAGCTCGCAGCTGGAATAAAGTGACTGTAACGGCTATAGTAGCGGCCCACAAAAGCCTTTTAAAAAAATTTTTTTACCCGCTCTCTGATTTCAGACATGAATTTTGCAGATGGATTTCAAGGTTTAAAGTTAACTGACCTCAAAAGAACATTAATATATTGTATACTGCCAAAAAATAGGACTGCCAACGTTAGTGAATAGTATATAATTTATGGTATGAGCATGTACTACGAACATCTTATGTAACAGTAAGGGTTGCATTCTTGTTCTTGTGATAACAGCAACACGTGGTATACATTCCTCAAAACATGCAGTACTTCTCACAAAGGTCAGTGACCTGTTTTGCACATTTTCCTCAAGTTTCCAAGTGGTATTTCACCTTTCATGTTACTTCCTTTCGAACATTTTGCTACAACTCTTTCATACAACCCAACCCTTAAAATGCCAAGGGTCGCGAGTCAAACATATGCAGCAGGGATTACAATTTATTACCCCACATTTGCCTGATAATTTTTCTCTCTTGACAAGCTTAGGTAAATCATATAGCCTACTCTATAATGTATGAGTGCTCGGCTGCTTGATGAGTAAAGTCTGCTGCTATTGGCTGTTACCCCTGTGGTGTTTGAGTTCCCATAAGACCAATAAGGCTTGTCTGTGTTCCAACATGACTGGAATCACTGCAGGAACAGGTAGAGGTCCAGGTATTTATAGTAACTATATGCAAATGGATCAATGCCATGTTGAATTGTTAGAGCAGAGAGGTGACAGTTGAATACATGTACATAGAAGGAGAAATATATAGGCTTCTCCCTCTCTTTGCGACATGTCTAATCAGTTAGGATGGCCTCCTCTCCTCATTTCATTTGAATATATTCAGCTTGGACTCAGACTAAGGAAGTGCCTCTTCCCTCCCATGTATATTATTCCTTCTCGCTGAAGGCTCATTATTTTACAGCAGGGTGTGTGAGAGGTGGCCCCAGTCTCTGAACTCTCTGTCGAGGCTGTATTAATCAAACTTCACACAGTGGGGAAGGGTCCACCCACTGACACAGCACCGCTCACTCTACACTTGAGGACAAAAGCAAAAACGCCCTACCTAAGCTGTTACTGTGAAACACCTACAGCTTTTGAAGATGACTACTTTATACTATTTTCACAACAATAACCCCACATCTTTCAAAGACTGTCTCAAAGATAGTCCATACTAAACAAAGTATTTTACCGCATTGTGTCTTATGCTAACGTTGTATTCCTTTTTTCCACAGTGGACAACAAGATCTTTGCGTGGGGAAATGGCACCAGTGGACAGTAAGTGAATTTCACAAGTAAAAAGATCTAAATGAGCATGTGAACAGTGTGTATTACGTCATTTTTTATTATTATAGCCCTCCAGACTTTCATTGCCCTCACTTTGACAGTGTGTCAAAGGATAAGAAGGTGTAGTGATACTTTAGGGGACTACTCGGGTGTCCATAAAAGTTCAGCTACACTTGGTTAGTTTTCTTCTGCCCAATGGTCATTCAATTGCCTCATTTTCTTCTGCTGTAGAGTGAGATATTAACGTGAAGATAGACACTCTGACAAACAGACAGACAGACATAGTTATACACAAACATAAGTTGTTTTCCTCCTGATGAGCTTCCTTGTTAAAACTTCTCCAGCCAGGAGCCAGACTGGCTGTAATGACATCTAAGGGCCTTTGGGCTGCAATGATTCAGTGGCCCTCAAGTACTCAAACAGCAGCACAGCAGACCTCAGAGAAATACATAAAAGAAACAACGGCATCACTTCTCACACTCATCATCTCCCATTGTCCCTTATTCTTCTTCTCTTGCTCTCCATCCCTCTGTCTGTCTCATTCTCTCCCTCTCTCTTCTCCCATGATGCTTTGACCCCTCTAAGCAGGTCAAGGCTCTCTTGTGGGGAGCTTATAGTTGGAGTAGCCTATAGTTGGAGCTCCACAACACCCACTTGCAGAGCAAAGGGTGAGCATCTCCGTTACACAACTGGCACTCTGATATCTGAAAACTCCTCAGCTCTCCTGTGTGTCTCACTGGAGGCGAGAGAGGAGAAGAGTACGAGGGAGCTGTGTAAATTTAAACTGGCAAACTTTCTGATGGAAATAGCTGTGACCCCAGAGTGGTCTTGTCTTGAGTTGAAGCATTGTTGTAATCAATACAGGCTCTCGTGGGGATGGCGGGCGAGGACCTTTCGTTCCCCGTTTGTGGAAATAATGGAGAAGACTGTTTGTTATTTTTCCCAGACATGCCGCAAACTAGCAGATATGGCCGGGGCATTGCAGGTTATGACGCTGGCTCAGGGAAACAAATACAAAGAAGAGCATTTTATCAAGAAGCAAACAGCAGAGCTCTGTTTGAAGCTGCTGGGAGCTCACAGGTCACAGGGGTGCTGGGGCTGCGTTTGACCAGCTCATCTTGAAAAGGGGTCTTGGATGTTCTTTGTTCACTCACACTAGGGACATGGAGACAGAAACACAACTCTCAGCCAAGGCCTACGTGAAGTCATTTGTACAGCTACAAATTGAGTTAGGTTCAGTTATTATTTCTTCCCTAGGAACGTAAACCTGACCTCACTGAAATATGCCTGTTAGACACACACCATATATGACTCTTGTCTGTATAGAGAAAATATCAGAAAGAGACCACAGTATTCCTTCTCGGGGTGTACACTAAACAGTGATACATACCAATCTTATATTATCATTATATTAAAATGACTTGTTACTTGTTAAATTAGGTAATCCCACAAAAATAATCCAATTGATGTTAAATTCTCTTCAAACTAAAAAAGAGACAGTTTTCTCTTAAACCTTCCCCTCAAACCTTGGTATATCTTTTGCATGATCGAGAAGAAAATGTCGAACTGTATTTTCTGTCTGCTTTTTCTAGGCTCGGTGATGGAGAGAGGTCAGTAAAGGACCAGCCAGTCGAGGTCAAGTTACCACAGGAACCGAACTTTAAAGGAAGTGACGCAGATGTGGATGTCGTCAATATAGTTGGTGTGGCCTGTGGAAGCAGACACTCCTTCATATGGACTGAAACTGGTCAGGCCTACAGTTTTGGGAACAACTTTTACGCCCAGCTTGGCTATGACTTCCAGAGAGCTGACTTCAAAGAGCACCAGGTACGAGGATTGTAGTGCGTCTACAGTTGTGACCAAGTCAATATTAAATACATCATGTATTTAATATTGACTATTGAACTCCTGAATATATAAAATGCTTTGAGTTTAGGTCAACATTATTCATATTCAGTATAAGCATGACACACAAATAACTCACAAAAATGTGCACTCATTAAAACCAATGTGATTTTGTAATGTCCCCTTAAAACATCGACATCATCTCTACAGGATATTATTAGTTTTTAATTCATTGTTGTGTGAGAGAGGGGCTGATAGAGGCAGGCCTGTGTGATGGATATCTCAAGGGCCTGAATGGCTCTTTGCTGGTTGTCTCTCTATCTCTGTCCTTACATGGCTCACCATACAGTAGCATGCTGCTGAACCATACAAATCCTAAATTAAGTGCTGTGGAATTGAAATTGGCTCTCTTGTGAAGTGTTCCACTTGCATTGGAGCTTAATTTTGCCTACTCATATCATTTGATTCAGTCCCTCAGTCCCTCTTTTGCTTGCTGCAGCCCATCGCTCCCTCTTCCTTGTCATGCAAAATAAGCCCATTTACCGCAATGTGACAGTGTCTAGGTGAATGATTGCCACTCAGCACTTGATATATGGGTATGTGCTTTTGTGTGCGTGTGTACTAGATATATTATATTTCTGAAAGATTTCCCCAGTCTCTTGCAGTAACATTAGTGCATTGTTATACATTAAGTCTTGCAGTTTTTTACACCTACATATTATAATGGATGGATTAAAAAAACGCTATGTGGCAAAGTATTCAAGTCCACTCTCTTACTCGGCCCAAATATCATTACCTGTTTTCATCAGTTTCTCCTGTGCTGGAGCCATTATAGAGAAGTCTTTTGAAATTGCTGCTTGCCTGCTTAGTCAGTCAATATATGAATTGTCTCTGTTGCTTTTAGATTAAAGTTGCCTATCTGTAGGTGTTATCAACAGATAGTTTACTCCAACAGCATGTAATACTTTTTTGCCTCACTATCACAGTCAAGTGTTAAGTTGTTGTTTTTTTATAGTTATACTATAGTTAGTTTAATAGTTTTCTTGTTACGTTATCTGTTGTTCCCCAGGCATTGTTCGAGCAGTAACATAAGACAAATTCGCAGAAGAGAAGCCTTAAAATTTAAATGAGACTGGCCTCACACTAGTTGGGGGGTGGGGGGCAGACAGTATCCAGCCACCTGGCAGAACTATGGAGGCCCAAGGGCCAAAGCTCTCACCTCTCCTCCCTGATAAAGGCCACCGGAATCTGCATGACTGAACCCAGCCCTCACTTCTTTCTGCAAAAGCAATTGATACTGAAGGGGGGGAAATCTGGCAGGTGTGGCAGAGAATGGGACCTGATGGTATGTGTATCCCAGAGTCACCCTTTCCTCTCATCCTAGCCATACCAGTGGCCTCTGATTGCCCCAAGTAGAAGCTCAAATCTGGCCCTTTCTCTTGTATACCACCAACCTCCATCTTCTTTCATCCCTGTTGCCTCCCTGTGTGCGTTTTTTCAGTAGGTCCAGAAAAGCTGCTCCACCTCCAGTTATCCCTAGACTCTGTACAATACGATACTGGCTATTGTTGTAAAGAATCTGTAGGTTGGAACTGCCAGCTTCACCCCTAAGGGCTCTCTTTAATGCTTGAAATGGAGTGGTAGTAGCCCACTGAGATCTGAGAAACACTATATTCTGTTCTTTAGAGGCCCGGTGATAAGGTGTTGGGATTCTGCTCACACCTGTGAGCCCATTGTTCAGGCCCGCTACGGCATTTCACCTGCAAAAGACAAGGTTAGACAGAGCTCCCATTTAATGGTTTGATTGACATTATTTTAATGGCACACTGTGAGGAGCTGTATGTCTATGAACAGAAATGAAAGTTAATCTTATTTTTTCCCCCCCCTCTCATGTCTCTGCCCTCGGTCTCTCCCCTCATTAGGACAATGACATTGTCATTTTCTCAGGGTTTTGAGGGACGTGTTTGTATGCAGATAGGACAGTCCCACTTTAGTTCTCCAATGTCAACATTTTGATAAGAATTAGTAGTCACTGGCTATGTTACTGCAGTAGCTTTGGTGGTATCAAGACCGTATCATATACCAAAGGTTTGTTTTTGTGTATATGAATTTTTTCTCTGTGTACATAACATAGCTCAGTCTCTAAGTAGGTTAACAGTCCTCCTTGCTGAAAATGTACCACCCATTCTCTGTATTTTTACAAAGCTAGGCAAAAAGCGACCGTGGGAACATGAAAATAAACTCTGTTCCTAAGTGTGACACATGTGCAGCTTGAGCTTGGCACGGCATCCGTGTTCAGCCTGGCTGAGCACAACTTGTTTGAATGTCATATTTATCCCTGTGTTTTGTCAGAAAATTAACTTCCTGTGAGTTTGCGGCAGAGCCGAGCATATGGCCACAGCTCTCTGGAGATGACAGCCTAGCGGAGCGGGAGCTCGCCGGTGCCGCTGCCCTGCTCTGGCGGCAGATGCTCCGGGCTTCTCCGCGATTAAGTGGAGATCATCACTGTTTTCTTTGAGCACCGCTGTGCCTTGTACTCTGAAGTGTTCCGTTAATCACTGCCTGCCTCCCTGCCTTTTCCACACAAGCTGCCAAAGCACTCATTAAGTTTGAATCTTCCTCTCACCACTCGCATGCTCACCAGTTCGATACATTGTGTGACTGAATCTTAGCAGTCAACCCTTTCTGCAGGAACACAATGGTACCTTTGTGTTAGAGGGATCATAAAAGCCGTAATGTTTTTGTGCATGCTTGGTAAATGTGATTTCATTTCTGTCTCTCTTCTGCTGTTCATTCATTTTCAAGGCATTGTGTACATACTTTAAATTAAGTGTCACTCTTTTTGCTACTGAATGTTTTCTCTACTCTGTGTCTGCTAATATAGTTTGTATTTGAGTTTCTCCCCGTGCTGCCTTGTTTCCGGCACTGGCGTCCGAGGGGAGTGAAGCCTTTTCTGCCTTTTTTTCCCCCAACAGTGCCGCCTCCTCTTCTTTCTGCAAGTTATTAAGAACTGCTAGTCACATTTAAAATTGTTAAACATTACTACATTATCCTTGGTGGGTGTGACTATATTTGATGTATCTGAGTTTATGGAATCGGAATGCAGGTATAATGTAAAACACAACTCTGATCCAAGAGAAACACAAAAGATAGAAATATAGTCTTTGTTAGCCCCCCCCCCCCCAAACCTGGTATCACACATCCAGTTTTGTTGTGTGTATCTCCTACACAAGCAACCATCCATTGTTATTGTTAAACATTGTGACACGCTTTAACCCTGATTGATCTTGATCTCCGACACAAATAATAATGTGATTACCGGCTTTTCTCTGCTTCTCTCTTCACAGCAGTGGAAAATAACGTTAGATATTTCCTTTCATGTTAATCGCCTTGGTTGGAAGTATACCTCGGTGCACCAATAGGCCTCAGTAATGCCTCCTTTCTTCTAAAAAAAACATCCAAAATAACCTATTTGCAGCACACCCACACACACATTGCTTAGCTCTGTAACACCGTTATTCTGCACCCATCAAAGCCTGGCTTGCTTGTCCTGGTGCAGTGATCATTCCCCCACAATAGCGGGATGGCATTACTGTGCTTTTGAAAGCATTTGCATGGCAAAGCAATAACATGCACCTTGTAAATAAAGGAATTGATCCTGTTCATCGCAGGTTGGATTTCCTGGATAAAGCTATGGGAAATGGATCCCTACGCCATCTTACATTGATATACAGACCCTGTTTCCTCATCCTCAAGTTTACTTCTGCTTCTTAATCTTGACTGTTGGGCTGTCAGGCACACAGACAAAAACGTATGTGGTTCTCTCTGCTGCATTGGTTACTTGGGAGACACGCTGATTAGTGCCAGTTTTCCTCTTTTCAATATGTAGATACCCAGATAGAAAGCTGGCCCTATTCATTGAGTCCAAGTACCAAAAATAGCAATTGCTGTTCTCAATCAGCTATGAAGAAATTGGTTTGCATTGTCGGAAGAGGTTGATTAGTGACTTTTTTGAAGAGGTTCTAGAAATTACTTTCAAATCAGGCTGAGTTGACAGACAGCTATTTCAAAATTCATTTGGCAGTGAAAGGTCAGCAATAAAGGATAATGTAAAAATTTTTTTTATCATAGCTCATACTGTATGAGTGCCATGCATTTGTACCCTCTGGTCCTGCATATTGTTATTCAACACAATAAGCGTTTATCTCATCTACTCAGAATCAAATCTATTCACAACTGTACAAATTGCCGCTGTGCTCTTGGCAAGGTACAGCTAATTTTTCGACGAGGAAATTCCTTGTCAGGAGCAGCCAAGGGAGAAAGTGTCAGTTTGATACTACAAGTACACTAACGGCTGTGCGGGAGCATAAGTGTTCGCTGCGCTTCGGTGACAGTGCGTTTGATTTCAGCACTGACCACCAGTGATGCCAACCCTGTAGGCCTCATCTGAGCTCCCTCTTGAGACTTAGACCCTCCCCCACATCTCACTTCAGACTGATGCTGCTGAGAGAGAAGGAGAGAGACTGAGAGAGATGGAGAAACTAAGTGAGAGGCTGGCAGACAATAAAGTCGCTCAATAGTATACACTTCTGTCACTTGTCTATTGTTACACTGCTGTTACAAGCTATGCAGTATGTGGGAACTCAGTGTGGGTGTACAGCGACCTAAACTACTATACCTATCTCCCCTAGGGGTACCTCAAAGGATGCTTGGGCTCTGCTGAAAAATGAGAGGCAAGGCAAGTGAGAGACAGGGAACAGAGGGAACAGAGGGAGGTAGTCTCAGCTGTGTAGGAAGGCTAACCTGCGCCTCTGGAGATCCTGCGTCTTTTCAAAAGTACCAGGACAGACCCGTCTTTGTGGCTACTCACCCCCTCCTCTGACTTGTTTAGGGCCACACTGTTAAAATAGTTCACTTCTGATGACTTCTGCTGCACTCTGTTACTAACTGTAGGGGTTCTTCTTTATTTGCTGTTCTTTTTA